ATCAGAATTTAAGGCCTTAAAAAGTCTTAAATATGATCAAAGAAATTAGAAAGGTCTTAAAAATGAATGGAAAGTTTCCATGGGAAGTTAAGCTGGGGAATTTTGGAAATATTCGATGCAAAATTAAACAAAAAAACATGACATTTCAACAGATATTTTATTTTTTTATTTTTTTATTTTTTTATTTTATTTTTTTAGTAGAACCGAACAAGTTTTAATTATTTTATTGAACAATTATTTGTTTCATGAAGAACAAAAACAGGAATGTTGGATGTTTGGCTCTACCTCAACCCTAAAAGTGGAGGTGCTGTGGACGCCAAACACCAATCCTATAAAAGCAACGATGAAAGATTGTAGCCAAGGGAGCAGAGCTCAGAAGATAGCTCTTGTCACACACACACACACACACACACACACACACACACACACACACACACACACACTTTCACAGTTAGACAGTTTTTTTTCCTTCTGGTTTTTGGCTTACACAGTTCTGTGTGCTGTTATGTTCAGTCATCGTTCTTATGTTGAACGTGAATACATTTACTTTGAAAGTAATTATGGGACGTATTTCTTCTTTCATAGCAATTTTCCTTCGTACTTTCTTGCCGTGAAATAGTTCTTAAATCTATTCAAAGTGGTCTTAAAAAGGTCTTAAATTTGAGTTGGTGAAACCTGCAGGAACCCTGTATTAGTCCGCATTCTTAAAAACTATAAATAGACAATAAACAAGCACTGCATCAGTATTTTCTTTAGAAACAGGCAGGGCTCTTTGTTTCAGTTGAATCTGAACTTTGATCTCTTATGTTGACATCCAGAATTGTACTCTCAGAAATTCTTCAAAAGCTGTGGAGAATTAGATATTGCAATTTCAAACTCAACATTTGGACAGTATTAACAGCTGTACTGTAACTTTGTTTGACATTAAAGTTTATAAAGTTCTAGTAAATGCAATGAGACATGTGTTTGTTATCATGCAGCTTCAGGACCCACAGAGGTCCAGGATTACAGGACCAGGAGCGATGCTATGAGACACTGAAGAGACAAGAAAAGCAGCTGTTTCTGGATTTATGCCTGAAAGCAGCTACTCTCATTCAAGGAGAAAGTGTTCACAATGAAGTGAACAACCTCATCTCTCTGTTTTCCTTTAACACTGATATGCATAACATCCTTCTGGATTTGTATCAACATGTCAAAGCTCAAGAGAATTCAGCTGTCATTCAACTGAAGCCATTTTTCCAGTCAGTTCCTGCAGTCTGGACCATAGACCTCTCAAAGAGAAAGACCTCCATCCTGCTGGAAGTGCTGAGACTCCAACCAGAGAAGAAACAAGTGGAGCTGAGAGACTGCTCAGATGGAGAGAGTGAAGTGTGGACTTTGCTGCAGTGTCTGCCTTATATCTCACAGCTCAGGTAAATGCTAATCTGCAGATTCAATTTAACATAATTTAAACCACAGCTGATGGAGAAAAGTTTGTATTTGATAGAAACCTAACATCACAATCTCTTGATTCCTTGTGTTTTCAGTTTTGTGCCTCAGTTATCAGAACCTTCAGGTGAACTCCAGTTCTTTGGGACTCTGTTCTGTGCAGCAGCAGAGAGAGAGCAGCAGACAGGAGAGAAGACACTGGAGCTGATGTTATCAGTGTGCACCTATCAAACAATAGATTTAACCGACATAGTTTCTTATTATTTTATAAGGAACCCTCAGTGTGATTTCCAGCTGGATCTGTACTACTAAAGTACAGTTTCAGTGCAGAGCAGCGGAGATGGGCAGAAAAATGACTGGTGCTGGATGAGACTTTTATTAGAGACTGATTCAGAAAGCCTTCTTCCTTACAGTCAAACTTTTATTTGCTGTTTGTTCTAAGATACATTTGGAGTTTAATGGTGTTTATTTAAATCCAGAATCAAACCTGAACCAGGCAATAAACACATCAACGGGAAAATAGGGTTTTAAAATAGGCAAACCCTCCTTAGTTTAATCATGTTGTGTTCTTCACTAAAGCATTTTCCACTGCTTAATTGCATTTCTGTATTTGTCTCTGTGTCTAAGTCTGACTTTTTAGCAAGAGGGCTTTGATTATCATAAACCAGAGATGAGTGTCGGCTTGCAGACGGAAGTATAACAATTTATGGCTTCAAATAAATAAATCTGGCTGAAATAGTTTGAATTGATCTGCAAACAGGATTTTAACAGTCTTTCTTTTAGCTCTTCGAAAAGTCAAATTGGGATTTAAAAGATCAGTCATGAAATATAAAGGGGTTGGTGAGTTGGAGAATTGTGAGGGATGTGTGTGTGTGTGTGTGTGTGTGTGTGTGTGTGTGTGTGTGTGTGTGTGTGTGTGTGTGTGTGTGTGTGTGTGTGTGTGTGTGTGTGTGTGTGTGTGTGTGTGGTGTGTGTGTGTGTGTGTGTGTGTGTGTGTGTGTGTGTGTGTGTGCGAGAGAGTGAGAGAGAGAGCGCGAGAGAGAGAGCGAGAGAGCGAGAGAGCGAGAGAGCGAGAGCGAGAGCGAGAGCGAGAGAGAGAGAGAGAGAGAGAGAGAGAGAGAGAGAGAAAAAAAAAATATATATATATATATATATATATGGCAGAACAGAGGTTAGCCCATCAGGCCAGAGAGATAAGATACAGCTTGATCCTCCAAAAGCTCTGGATTGCAGGCAGGACCAATCACACGTCTCCTTTACTCCCGCCAGTTCACCTGTGTGTGTGTGTTGGAGGGTTAGAGTCCAGGACCATTTGGGGCAGGGTGGAGAGTTCAGGGGAGAGATGTCAGAGGGAGGGAGGGGAGAGAGTTCAGCATCCTGACCGCCTGGTGGAGGAAGCTGTTGCACAGCCTGGAGGTGCGCGAGCTAAGGCTGAGGAACCTTCTTCCTGAAGGCAGGAGGCTGAAGAGGATTAGCGGATTAGACCTGCTGTTTCCTGTCTTACACAAAGTAAAACTCAGGTACGAAGACCACTAAACCAGAGAAGAAGCTGTTTTTATACATCTTTCTGCATCACATCAGTTTGCTCTGTGTCTCCTGTTCAGTGCCAGTAAAGCTGTCCTCCTGCAGCTGGTGTCCCTGGTTCCTGTGAACAGTGAGAGGGACACAGTGGGACGGGCCGTGTCCCTCTGCAAAGCCCTGGAGGGAGAGCTGGACCTCAGTCACAGCTCACTGGATCAGAGGGCCTGTGCAGCCTTGGCCCTGATGCTGGACTTCTCTGAAGAGCTGACCGAGCTGGACCTCAGTCACTGTCAGCTCACTGACCAGCTGCTGCTCACACTCAGCACGCAGCTGCTCAAAGTACAAGTCCTCGAGTGAGTGGCAAAGGTGTTCATGTGGGAAATAGGTTTTAGTGGAGGTAGTTTGGGGTGTGAATCTCTCTGTCTGATCATTTGATTCAGGGCTTTGTTGACTGAAACCTGTTCAGTCTGAAGATACGCTGTGATCAGAACTCAGGCAGTCATACGGCGGTGTCAGAAAAGTGACATAACTAATGGAGACATACAAGTGAACATAATGTTTGTTTGGACTGTACCTATACTGCCCAGCCGATGTATTACATTACTAAAAGTTCCTCTGTTTGTGTTACAGTCTGAGCCACAACAACATCACTGATGCTTCGACTGACCTCTTACTCCAACTGGTCTCCATCAACCCCTCCATTCACACTGTGCGGTGAGAAAACCATAATTATTGCACCATTTGTACTCGTAGGCTCTCAGAGGAATCATTCATCATTATAAAACTGCTATTCAACGTATTGTTCTGTCTGACTGATGTCTGTGCTCTCTGCTTTTGGATTTTTCTAGACTTTTCAGAAACAACATTTTGGAGAGGACATCCTTTGTGAAAGACAAGAAGTTTGAAATATGGTGACCTGTTGAATGCTGTGTGTTTTCCCCACTGTGCAGCTAAACACACACATACACACACACACACACACACACACACACACACACACACGTATTTGTGTCATATGGCAGCTCTATTAATGTTTCTCCAGGGAGACTGTCATTTATTGTTGGGCGTGCGTGGGTGTCGTTACAGCGCTCCATAAACACGTCTATAAATATAAATGATAGGTGCATGCTGGGTACGTTCAACTGCAAATCAGAGGCAACTCACTTTTCATTTACCTTTTAAATCTGTATTCTAGTTATGGAAATTGAGCACAGCTGATCACTCCCAGTGCAAATATCACATGCTTTCTTCCATAGTTCCAATTGTTTTATAGGCTTTTCTTAACCAGATTAGACTCTGTGTGTTCCCTTCTCAACAGACCAAATTCACTGATTTATATATATTGTAAAACTGTTATTACTTGAGCAATAGTATCCTTTGTTTACATTTAGTGAGCACTAGGCTGTCATAAAGTACACTGACTTCCATTCTGTATATTTATATTGTATATTCACTAAAGATACTCAATTAGATATATATCCTTCACTGTTAATGACATGCTGCTGTGATTAAGACTTTGCCCAAATTGGGAGTCAGTAAAAGGATATCTTATTTTAATATCTTTTATCTTTCATATAACATTACCACCTTTGACCACCAGATGCCGCTAAATATCCACAAATGTATCCTTACGGGATTTTTCAGCATTATTCATATTTAAATAACACACAGTGCCAGAAATGTGTTATTTTAGTCCTGTAAATGACTTCATTGAATTCTTAATTTTAGCCTTGACTTTCATTTCTATTTTAACATTATTTATCATAACATTTGGAGTTTTTTGGCCAAATTATTTGGGGTCTTAGACCGAAATGCTATTATTAAGTACTTCACAGAAGGGTTTTTTTTGTATATAAGCTGTGCTTTCTGTCCTCCTGCTTTAACTAACTTGCATTTCTTGTCCATTGTCTGTATATATTAACATTAATACAGTGTATATTATGATAGTACAATATCCATATTGACCACCAGATGTCACTAAATTCCCCAAATTCTGACTGGGGGGTTTTTCTCAGCATTATTCTAATAAAATAATAAAAACATACAACAAGCATGTCAGAAAAGCTTTTTATTTGTTACACAACATTTAAGCTTTATCCAGTTAAGGCAAGTGTTCCTCTTTCCATGTAAAAAGTATAAAAATGTTGAAGGCAAAGTGATGACATGTTAACAGCAGCACTTGCAGATAGAGGCCTTATTGTTGTGTAAGCCAAGCACACACACACACACACACACATATCAGTGTTCCCTGGATTTCTTTTTTTTAACTGATAAATGGTGTGTATCTCTTACACATTAAGACCGTTTTTTCTTAGATTGTGTGACGCTTGTGTCATATTTTTCAAATAATCATAGCTGCTTTGGACCTTGGAGTGGTTTTAAGTACATTTTCATTAGTAAACACATAGTCTTGATACAAATCTGGTTGAAAATCTGCTTTTCTTTCCTCAAATAAAAGTAGACTGATATGTTATGAAAAATAAATTGCAAGAAAAACAGAAATCCTGTGAAAGAAAACATCTGGATTTAGTTTCCTATTAATGAAAACACTGACACACACCA